ATGCAACACTTTGTCCTGTGTTCATTTCACATTCGTCATCTTACTTATCCTTAAATAAACAAATGAGTTAGAAACGATATATGTATTTCCCACCAACTTAAAATTTAAAAAAATTAAGTAGAAAGAAATTAAAGAACTTTCCTCCAGTGCCACAATGAACTAACAATGCAGTTGAAACTAGAAATATAGTCCAATAAACATTGTGATAAACAACATCAAAGTAATTACCTAGTTTATTTTTCACACAGTCTATACTCAAGTGACTTTTCTTTAAAGATTTTTCCTGCATTTAAACACATTCGACTACATTAAATATTAGGCTGGTGCAAAAGTAATTGCAGTTTTGGACAGTGAATTTTAAATCATTATAACTAGGCTCAGACACATCTTTATTAATCAAAATAAGAACCATTACAATCAACACATTTTTGGCCAATGAGAAATAAGTTTGTTCATTCCTGTAGCAAAAAATCCATGCTTTGGGATTTGAGGAACTCTTGGAAAGCATTTTCTGCATCCTGCTGGTTGTGGAAGCATATTTCTTGCAAAAAGGTGCCGAGATGCTTGAAGAAGTGGTAGTTGGCTGGCGAGAGGTCAGGTGAATAAGGAGGACAAGACAAAACTTCGTAGCCCAATTCATTCAACTTTTGAAGCATTGGTTGTGTAATGTGCTGTCAGGCGTTGTCATGCAGAGGAATTGGGTCCTTTCTGTTGAACAACGCTGGCTGCAGGCGTTGCAGTTTGCAGTGCATCTCATGGATTTGCAGAGAATACTTCTCACATGTAATGGTTTCACTGGTATTCAGAAAGCTGTAAAGGACTGGACTGGCAGCACTGAACAATGACCATGACCTTTTTTGGTGCAAGTTTGGCTTTGGGAACTGCTTGGAGCTTCTTCTCGGTCCAACCATTGAGCTAGTCATTGCAGGTTGTTGTATAAAATCCACTTTTCTTCACACATCGCAATCCGATCTAGAAATGGTTTGTTGTTGTTGTGTACAGTAAGAGTAGATGACACTTCAAAACGATTTTTTTTTAATTTTTGATCAGCTAATGAGGCACCCACTTACGGAGCTTTTTCACCTTTCCAATTTGCTTCAGATTCTGAACGACCATAGAATGGTCGACATTGAGTTCTTCAGGAACTTCTCACGTAGTGGTAAGAGGATCAGCTTGGATGATTGCTCTCAATTGGTTGTTGTCAACTTTCGATGGCCCGCCACTGCGTTCCTCATCTTCAAGACTCTCATCTCCTGTGCCAAACTTATGGAACCACCACTGCACTGTACGTTCATTAGCAGTTCCTGGGCCAAATGCGTTGTTGATGTTGGGTGTTGTCATCTCCACTGGTTACGACCCATTTTGAACTCGAATAAAAAAATCGCTCAAATTTGCTTTTTATCTAATATAAT